TGTTTCCTTTAATCCTATGATTAAATTAAGTTTCATGTTTAAAGTTTAAATAAAACTGATCAGTTTCATTAAATCTTTGAGTTTCTACTAATTTGTTGTAACAATGATGTCAACATCAGATAAATGTAAACATACGGTTCCTAGGCATTTATCAATATGCTAAACTATTTCATTTTTGTTTGTCATGCACAGAATATATAATTAAATGTGCTTGGAACTTAATCATTTCATTATCTTGAGTTGAAAATAAACGTTAATCCAGCGATTGGTTTTTTGTTGTATTTTTGTTTGGCATTTCTGTATTTCAATGAGTTGTGCACAGTATAAAACATGGGTGGCCAACCTTTTCAGCAGGTGGGCCCCATTTCAGAAATATTACCGCCTGCCGGGCCACGCACTTAATCATGTTTGTGTTAATTAAGGTAAACAAGCGTGCTCATTATGATATCTGTTCTTGGTGTCTTTACAAAGAAATATAAATGCTTGTTGTAAGTATTCCTATAATCCATGGGGGCTGGGTGGCCGAGTGGTCTAAACTGAGCAAATCTCAAGTTGGTGTTCTGGAGTTCAATTCAGCACCCCGGGTGGATGGGACTCGTCAACCTTGGATGGCAACTCATCTAAGAGAAGGAAACTCTGAAATCAAACCCGGAGATGGAGTCCTGAAAGGCGGATAACATTGATACAATGAAACATTCCGACAACTCCTGAGACGTTAAATGATGTTGTCCAGCGGCGTGGAGAGTGGCGATTTGCTGTTGGAAACCAGCTTATGGTCCTTGAAAAATAATCCCAAATCCTTGTGGATTTCGTCCTCCGAAGCCCACTCCATCGTCACATATAACAATAAACCTACAAAAAGTTGCATATTTCCACTAAAGAAATTTAAAAAATGAGATTGTTTAAATGCCATGAAATAAAAGTTTTTGGCTTTGCCAAACCTTATGGTAAATATTTCGAAATGTAAAGCAAAAGATTTGGTATTGAGAGTCTGGAAGATTTTGATTGTGATAACTGGTGATTTGAATGGGCGTACAATTTAAAAGTAATTGTTTTAACAGCAAACCAAGCAATTTTCAAAAGTTGGGTCGTCAACAATGTATACTATTGACATGGAAATTATTTCTAAACATTTCTAAGGCTTCTCCAGCAACATCTAAGTAAGATAATAACACAATTTAAAGGCTCAGTTAAGGTACAGAAATTAAATAACCAAACTATTTATTTGATAAACATTTTTTGAGCTCACATAATATCCATCTGGAGCTAAATTCTATACAAAAATATTTAATTACATGATTATTATAAATATTAAAATGATTTTTTTTAAAGTGGGGGAGGGGGGTTGTTGATTTGTGCAAGCCAAGACAAATGTTGTGCAATCTATAATTAAAATACTTTCGAAAATTTTAGTATTTTTTTTAATGGCTTAATTTAACATTAATTTTCTTCTTTATAATAATTATAGGTACAACTGACTCCATTAACTAGATCGAGTTTAACATCTGCTATTTTAAATGTTATTTTTGTCATTCTTACCGGTACTCTTGATGATTTCCCAATGGATCCTCAATTATTTATATTTGTCACAATTTCAAAGGCACATTTTTATGGGCATCAAATAATGATGTCATGAGATTTTACGTAACTAAATTGTCTGAATTTAAAAAAAAAGACTATGATTATGACTAAGGATTAGGGAAAGAGATTAATTATGCATAAAAACCTTTGTTCACAAATATAATTAAAATTCTTGAGAATTATAAGAAATAAAAGAATATTCAAAATAGACATTCCATTTCAATGAAATAAATAAGGAAGGGAAATAGCCAAAGGAAATTATAATAAAAAGTATTCTATGGGATACGCCTGAAATTTTGTAAAACAGTACCTGCCCAGTTTTGCGCCGCCTAATTCTTGTTCCTTTTGTGTTTGTTCTAAAATCTGTCTGTTGTTTCTAAACTGGACTCCACTTAGTTTAGTAGCGCTAATTAAAACAGCCCCCATTACATATTATTTTCTTTTCTCTCAATTCATGATAACGTCATACAATTCTTGTTTACTTAATTAACCAAATTATGAAAATCACAAATCAAAAATGATATGAAGTAGTCCATTTGCGCTTTTCTCTCCGAAAATAGATGGTTTTTTTCCCCTTCGTGGTCGTTATCTCCTAGAAAAGGGTGGACTGGTGGAAAATTTAGTCGACTTCTGTAGATAATTTGGGGAAATGTTATCAGGGAAACTAAGCATGATAACTGGAGTACTTAAATTAAGATAAATCAGTGGTAGCAGTATTGGCTTAAGTACTATTGACTGAAAGGGCCCTGTAAGGCTGTACCATGCACATGTTATCATCATGACATTTCTGTAAGCTAACAACAAGGTAACGAAATTAATAAATGCATAGTACAACAGAGTAATTCACTGCTTTATTATTTTTTTTTAATTTCAAATATTTATCATTATATTTAATATAGGAAACACACACACACAAACTCACACACTAGAGTCATAAAAGAGGATATTTTAAAAAAAAAATTTGTGCAGAGCGGTGGGGAGAGAAGAGGTTGTTTATGGAAAAAACAACTGGGAATACGCAAGCCAATTAAACATAGTATGTCTTCATCCGGGTCTGAACCTAAGATAAATTCTTCTTACATTTGAGGGGCCCACGATCAATTTGTTGATCATTATGGCTCCTGGTTTTAATTCAGAGTGTGCCTTCTCTTATATGGGTTGCCGTCCAAAGCTAACGAGCCCCATCCACCCGGGGTGCTTGGGATGTTGGCTTTGATGGGGATTGAACTCCGGACCACCGACTTTTTGGTTTGAGACAGTTTAAACCGCTCGTCCACCCAGCACCCAATTCAATGCAACAAGAAAGAATCCCAGCTATCAAGCATTGATTTAGATCGCTCGGCCACCCAGCACCCAATTCAATGCAACAAGAAAGAATCCCAGCTATCAAGCATTGATTTAGATCGCTCGGCCACCCAGCACCCAATTCAATGCAACAAGAAAGAATCCCAGCTATCAAGCATTGATTTACTAAACCTCTTTTAAAGACTTGAATACTTATTTCATTTAAGCCGTAAAAATTTATAATGCGTCGGAAATATCTTGCAATTTAAAGATTATTGAACCAATATTTTATACTATATTGCACGCTCGATTTTATGAACGATATCAAGTCTTTTTCATTAAAAGAAAGTCATTTTTTTCTATAGTACGTAATATAAACCACCGGGAATCGGGATATCTTTCAGCCTTATCCCCGGGGGTGGGGGTGGGTGGGGGTGAAGTGCCCCCCTCCCCAGGGAAAGCCAAGTGCCCCCTCCCCCAGAGCAAAAATATGTCCAACAATAAATCAACTGGAACTGATGGCACTGCCCCCCCTCGAAAAATCTGAAGTGCACCCCCACCCCGAAAATCTTAAGTGCCCCCCCCCCGGGGATAATTTCTGAAAGAAACACTGCCGGGAATGTATCATTTCTCATTTCTCCCCACTCATTCTGAAACCCCTCATCCCACGACTCAATACCACCCCACCCCCAGCCAAGTATCCCCTCTGAAACCATCCTACTGCTGGCATCATCTCATGTCTGAACACCTCTCACATCCCAGGACACACTTTCCCC